TTGAGCCCATTGGTGCTGTCACTATGTCAGTCCATCTCCCTGGAGGAGCTTCCTTTTTCTCATTCACCCTGTACTTTACCTCTCATGATGTCCTTTTCCAGGGACTGATCCCTCCTGATAACAAAGTACATGAGACGAAGTCTGACCATCTTCACTTCTAAGGAGCACTCTGGCCGTACTTCTTCCAACATAGATTTGTTTGTTCTTCTGGCAGTCCATAGTAATTTCAATATTCTTTGCCAACACCATAATATAAATACATCAATTCTTCAGTCTTCCTTATTCATTGTCCAGCTTTCACATACATATGAGATGACTGAAAATACCATGGCTTCAGTGAGGCACAATGTAGTCTTCAAAGTGACATTTTTGCCTTTTAACACTTCAAAAAGTTCTTTTGCAGCAGTTGGACCAATGCAATATATTGTTTGATTTCTTGATTACTGCTTCCATGAATACTGATTATGGATCAAAGTAAAATGAAATCTTTGGCAACTTCAATCTTTTCTCCATTTATCATGATGTTGTCTATTGGTCCAGTTGTGAGGATTTAAGTTTTCTTTATTTTGATCTGTAATCCATAGTGAAAATTGTAGTCTTTGATCTTCATCAGTAAGTACTTCAATTCCTCTTTACTTTAAACAATCTAGGTTGTGTCAACTGTATATCACAGGTTGTTAGTGATTCTTCCTCCAATCCTGATGCCACATTCTTCTTGGATTATTTGCTTCACATATTATTTGCTCGGCATATAGATTGAATAAGTATGGTGAAAAGATATGACCCTGACACAAACCTTTCCTAATTTTTAAACCATTCGTTATCCTCTTGCTCTATTCAAATGACTGCTTCTTGGTCTATGTACAGGATCCTTATTAGCACAATTAAGTGTTCTGGAATTCCCATTCTTCACAATGTTATCTATAGTTTGCCATGATCCACACAATCAAATGCCTTAACATAGTCAATAAAACATGGATAAACATATTTCTAGTATTCTCTACTCTTAGCTAAGATCCATCTGATATTCCCAATGATATCCCTTGTTTTTCACCCTCATCTGAATCTGGCCTGAGTTTCTGATTGCTCGTTATTGATGTACTACTGCAATTGTTTTCCAATCATCTTCAGCAAGATTTTACTTGCAGTTATATGTTAATGCTATTGTTTGATAAGTTCCACATTCAATTGGATCATCTTTCTTTATAATGGGCACAAATATGAATCTTTCACAATTGATTGGCCAAGTAGCCATTTTCCAGCTTTCTTGGCATAGATGATATTTGCTTAAACAATAAACCCAAAGATAGAAACAGGATAGAGGGTAGACATATTATAGTTTGGGTGTTGGAGAAGGTACAAGAAGGGGAAGGGGAATGGAAGAACAAGATAGATATGGGAACACTGAGGCAGGTTTGCATGGGCTAAATGAGACAGAGGTAAATAGTGATGTATGCTCAACCTTGGAACAGCAGAACTCTGTGATACAGGGATCGAGGCATAGTCTGAATGGGTAAAAGAGGAGAAATAATGTTAAGATGCTTGACTGTCTTATGCATATTGGTTTCCCTTGCCTGGTGGTGGTGGTGGTTATGTGCCGTGGAGTCGGTTCTGACTCACAGTGACCCTGTACAGGGTTTCCGAGGCTGTAAATCTTTACAGGAGTAGAATACCTCATCTGTCTCCCATGGAACCGTTGGTAGTTTCGAACTGCTGACCTTGAGGTTCGCAGTCTGATTTGTAACCACTATGCTACCAGAGCTCCATTCCCATGCCTACTATTGTAAAATAGACACTTGCATGGGATAGAAACGAATATCGGGAAACATGATTACAGAAAGATTGTAAGCCCATCTTCAGCCTATAACTATTTGGAATACTTAAAAGGGGTTCTAGAACTTGCCCAGTGAAATAGGCTTCCTGTAGAGCATTTTTTAGTGTATAGGACCTTAGGTGGAATCCTGAGCTCCATCCAGAACCTTCTGAGGTGGGACAGTCTCACTTGAAAGGACAAGCAGACCATCCTGGAAGAGCTAGAAGAACAGAAGATACTTCTTGAAAGAAAGACCAGCAGGAAAAATCCAAAACAAAAATGGCAGTATGATTGGCTACTACAAGAACAAGCAAGTTGTTCACCGGGGAGCCATCAAGGCAAACAATCAAGTCCCTTCAGGACAAACCCCCCTCCAAGACTGAAACTCAAAGGGAACATATAAGCAGGCGTCTAAGCTTGCTGGCGACCACACTGGTCTCCTGGTGAGTGGAAGCGGAAGAGGGGGAAGGCAGCAATGAAAATATGGGCCGAGTTTGACCACGTTCCATAGACTCCCGTCAACCTGGAGATGAGAGAGAGAGAAGAGGAAGGGCTGGTAGGTCTGACGTTATGGTGAGACCTCGGGACTCCTGAACCCATGGACAAGGGCATAGCCACAGAGGGCTAGAGCTGAGAGTGAAGTGTCCAACTGATATAAAGTGAGGAGAGGCACACAAGAATGCCCAAACATGTAGATAGTACCTTCTTAACCCAACTTTGATGGCTTGATGATCAGAACTCAACTAGAGGAAGATTTGGGGGAAAAAATTTTTTTTTGATAAAGGAAATGAGTGTAAATTGCTACAATTTGATTAACTTGACCTTTACTTATGGATGATGTAGTAGCTCAAAATACAACTTAGAGAGAAGGAATCTCCACTTCAAGGATCAATCCTATCCCCTCTGTATACAGGGGACAGGCAAGTTAGACATTGACTACGTAAAATGGGGGGGGGGGGGTGTATAAAGTACAAAGTTTTCAAGAGGGAGTTTATTTTCAGAGTGTATGGGGGAAGGTAGAATCCCCACTGAATATCATTCATCTTGTCTAACAGGGTCTTATGAAAAAAGATGGGGATAAGATTCTTATAATTCAATAGCAAAGTTATCATGACTAATTGTGACTGTTACAACTTTAAACATAGTTTTGTAACAAAAAGAAGGGAGTAGTTAATCTTACAGTCTAGGAACAGAGGACCTAGGACCACAAAGGGAGAAGAGCACAAGAGGAATGTGGGACCCTATCCAGAGAAGCAGTGACACTAGAGATGGAGGCAGAGGTGAGGGCATGTAGAGAGAGACTCTAGTCTGAGGAAAAGAGGACTCTAGTCTTATGGAAAGAGAAAGGCTGTGTGCTGGCAGTCAGGTGCTGGTGGCCAGGAGGCAG